CACAGAGAGCAGAGGTGGAGTTACACAACAGTGATATCACAAAAAGTACCCATGGTGGTACGAAGCAAACAAATCAAACCAAGAAAAAGAGCTTCTTCGCATTTAGGTTTCTGCTCAAGCACCTCTGCCGGTCGACATGCATGACAGTTTTTAATGGCCAGAGTTCCTCCTAGACCGCCCTAACAACACTTTTTACTGTGAAAATTAGAAGTTGGGAGGGAGACTCAAAAGTTAGACATTTCTGCTTCAATGAGGTTTTCAAGTGTAAAAAAAGGCACCGTAGATGTAAATAGCTATTCAAAAGGATGGCTTCTCATCCATGTTAGTTTCTATAAATGAACCACAACAGAGAGCAGGAAGACTTCATGTATTACAGTAAAGGAGGTGTACTTTATGTTTTCAGCATTTAACCTTTGTTTATGATGTCACTACCAAATGATGTTTCCTGCTTTGAAACATTATTTATCTATTCATTACACAGAGCTGAGCCTTGGAAACTATTTGAATATCATTTATTATAATTAAGGAAAGGATCAAAGTTAAACAAAAATAATATATCAATAATCTGGTCAATGCATCCGTTAATTGTTAATTTAAGCTTAAAGTTAGTAAAAAAAAAAAAAAAAAGATATATATATATATATATATATATATATATATATATATATATATATATATATATATATATATTAAGTGTAAAAAATAAAATATCAATAAGCTTTAGAGGTTATTTCTAATTTTCATCCAGTACAAACACACCTTCTGCTTATTTCCAGGAAAAAAGTCCAAATTACCTCTGGCATAAATGCAGCTTTTATCCTGAACCAATTATATCAAATCAAGTTAAGTACAACTTCTATTTCTTCAATATTATAATTTAGGGTTTTCCTTAGATTAAAGAGATATTAAGTTTAAACTGAAGTCTGACTTGATCATTGTTTGGAGCCACTTCATACACCTAACAACAGAAAAATCACTTGTTCTGATTTCAATCAAAATCATGAGCAGAATTCAGGCTAAAATGGAACAATTAACTAATTGAACTACTGCATTCAGTTTAGGATGTTTAACAATGAATTGTACAGATACCTCAAATTATTTTCTGAACTTAATCACAGAATAATTGGAGCGATTTAGTCCTCAGCCATCATTTTGCTTTAACTAGGCCCTCCTTTTGACCTCTACCTCACAGGTGGCTGAATGTGGGTGTCTGATTCAGCGTGCTGGTTGATGCGTTTGCCATCTCCCTAGAGGGAAAGACTGATAATTAAAGGTCTATTTCTCCTTTGACTGAAGACAGCAACCTAGCTATGAAGGTACTCCAGTGCTTGCGGGGCCAAACCCTGACGCCAGCACTTTGACCTGCTAACTCAACACACCTCTAAAATATTCATGAAGTAAATCAGTGCGTGTGTTCCAGAAGTAAAAGCTAATCTATGTGTGCGCACCTGACAAAGCCTCCGCCTAAATGGTCAAGCTGTGGGTTTGTTGTGGCAGAGATTCCTCCTCACCTTCCGTTAGAGCTGTTAGAGAGTTGCGAATGAGCACCTGGAGAGATTGACTGACTGAGCCACACACATTTAACCCCTGCTGCGGTCGCCATTAGAAGCTGAGCACTACAGCTCACCTAAAGAAGAGCCTGTGATCCAGCTGTGATGAGAGGCTGTGTCGTCTTTGTTGCACTGATCACATCGCTGTACTCTGCAGCTGCCAGGCTCCACACTGCTCTCCCCCAGCGGACTATTCGCTGACATCCCCCTAACCCCCCATATGAGCATGCATTCACAGAAATCTGCACATACGTGCATCAGCCTCCCACATGAAGCCCCCCCACCCCCCTCCCACACACACACACAAACTGCCTGATATGCCTGCTCACATCAAAGAGAATAAACATTAATGGCAAATAGGTAATCTGTTCCTCTTGTCTGTTTTACATTTCATGGCAAGACTGACTGCCTCTGGGGGGACCTGGCACTTTTCTGATTGAGGGCAGGAATTAAAAGGAGGAAGGGAGAGAAGACAGGCAGGTAGCTCAAATAAATAGTAAACATGTGATGGAGCATTATTCTTATTTCATGGATCTCTTTATTTTTTATTGATAGGCGAGAGATCCAAAAGAGGGTAATAAGAATCCTCGCTTCAACCCAGACTGGCCAAATGTGCTCCTAATCTCTCCTCCAGGAATATCTGATGTGGACCTTATTATTCTCCTTTCTTCTGAATAATATCCCCTCACCGGTCTATCCCTTCCTCCCCGAGCTGCTCGCTTTCCCAACTGAAGCTGTGCTTTTCCCAATTCTCCTCCAACTTTTCATCTCCTTTCCTTTTCTCCTGTCACCATCTCCAAGCTGCTCCTTCACGTTTTGGAGGTGGAGCCGGGCGGGTGTGCGTGGCCAGGTGCGGCGTGGCAGGCACCTCATATCCTGTCTAAGTATCAATCACAAGGTCCTGTCCCCTCAATTCTCCTCTGATCCATCAGCGAGCCTCTCAGCTAACCCAAGCAACCCTACCCACACATGCACTGACAAATGGTGCTCAGAGAATTGTGCACATCCAGTTTCTTTCATTAAACTCACTGTGGGTTGGCTCGGCTGTGTCCAACATAGACATAGAGGCTTCTAAAGGGAAGATTCTTCCTCATAAAGACGCCTTTATCAAGTACTGAAAGCGACATAAAGCTGGAACAATTAAGACAAATGATGAACCAAACAGCATTCGGATAACTTTTTAAAGACGATTGCTGATCAGCGTAAGAAGACAAGTGTGATTTTGGTGGTATAATAATAATAATAATATTAATGATATAATAATATTACCACAGGTTAGCACACAAAAAATGAACGCATATAATAACAACTACAGTCGCTTAGGAAATGATTATTATTTTGATTACTGATTTTCAAGTAATCAAAAAAGCAGCACTAATTCAATGGGCAAAATAATTCTGAGCATGCAATGAGGAGATTGCAAGTGCAAAACTTAAAAGCGTCAGAAATGGTTCTGTTCCGATACAATAAAGTGTGCAAATCATTTGTGCTGCTGAGAGTATGAGAGCGACTGTTAAAGAAAGATGAGGTTCAAAACCCTGGTGATGAAGGAAATAATGATATAGTTGTGTTAAAAAATAAAGACAACAATTATAATGATAAAATTATTTATAGTGGATTTTACAAAAGTATTATAAAAATATAAAATAAAAAAAAATATATAAAGATAAGATTAAAAACCCTTTATAAACACTGAAAAATATTGTTTTGTCTATTCCTTGATAGAGTATGGTTCTTCCCTTTGGAAGCTGTACATGCATGTTTGGTGTGAAGGATTTCCGTTGACTCAACGATCGATGCAATCAGCTGGTTTTCCTTAGATAGAAAACTTTGAACCAATCTGACTGTACGATCTGGTTAAATTTTCTCTTTAAAATGACATTAGATTACATGTGTTGTGAATTGGTGCTACATAAATAAATTAAATTGAATTTTTGAAGACTCACACCAGCATTTCAAATGCCATTTAGCTACAGCTGATAGCAACTAGACCTACTTTCTGATTATTAAGCGAACCAATACTCATCCGCTTGGGAGAAATTAAATAGATCATTAATCTACAGATGTTGGGGTGTCACAAGGTCAAGCAAAAACAACAACAAATAAATGCATTTTGCATAAAGTCTTAAATCCCATCCTACATCTTGGAACATTTCAAATCTGGCATCTTTTACATAAATATACACTGCCTGTACAAATCAGGCTGCAACAGAAGAACCTCACTTTTTTATTGGTTTATGTTTAATATTTAAATATTTTAAACAAAATATGTTGCATCGACAGCCATACCAAGACAAGAAACAGGGATATGGATCATTCTATATCTAAAGACTTGAGCTGCCATCACTCAGCAGCAAGAATTCATTAGTAAAGCTCCCATTTTCTACCTTCCTACCTCCATCTCGAGGCACCCCAATATTTCCTCTCAGTGATGCCGGCCTGCCTACCTGCTCCTCGCTCTCCGTTAAGCCGATTACACAACGGAGCCCTTCTAATCACAGCGCAGCATTTTGCAAACACCGACGTTGTAGACTATAGTCCTAAATCTCCCCAAATCCCCTCCACCTTTCATCTCACCACACACCAGCTATGCCACTTTTCAACGATGTTTTAATCGCCGGCCATTCTACAGAGTGATCAACAAGGCAGAGAGCCGGGGGACGAAAAAGCAAAATGTGCGCTCATCTGAATCCCCTCGGCACTGAGGTTCGTTGCTTGTTCTGTGGCTGGAAAAAGTGTGGTCTCATTTCATGACACCATTAACCACACGTGTCAAAGCACCTCCGTGGTATAATCCACTCACCCCAAAATCTCTGTAATGAAGATATTAAAACAGTTTTTCCCTTTGTGATTAAAATGATTGCTGCTCTCCCCCGCAGCCATACACAAGTAAACAAAGGGCCTTGCTCGCGCATATATTACGGAAACCTTTCCTCCAATTGTACATCTGTGCATGTTTTTGTGAGTTTCAGGCATCATGTGTGTGAGAGGGATTTAAAAAACAGAAGAGTTTACTGGTTCATTAGCAACAGATTAGTGATGCTAATGACATGAATCACCATACAGAGAAATTCTGAAAGGGATGCTGGGCTCTTTCTGGCTTTAGATTTGTGAACACATACTACACATGTGTGTAGATGTTTACACATTAGTTTTGCATGATTAACCCTTTCTTTAAGAGATCAAAAAGAAGAAAAAAGGAGAGATACACTTGAATAATAATTATATTTCATGTCTCTATGAAAGCATGGTAATTTTGCAATAGAATCAATGACTGAAAGAAGAGATGTATTTGGCAGAGAAATTGGAGTTAGTTGGGCATATGTGCTATATCTCTGCTTTATTAACACAAACACACAGCAAGGGCAACGAAGACTGCCTGCATACATAAGTATGTGATACTAAGACAAGAGTTTTTATGTCCAAATATCTGGAAAAAACATGTGCTACCTTCTGTCCCGACTGCGAGACCTGTGCGAGCGGTGGCTTCTTCCTTTATCTCTGTCTCCACTTCTGCTCCTCTTCCTGCGAGATGAACTCTGGGAGGAACTGCTGCTGGAGCGCCGTCGCCTCCTTAAGTGGACAGACACACAGAAAGTCAATTAATTCTATTACTGTTGACGGTTTAAACTAAAAAAGCAATCAGCTGATGAAGATTCTCAGTCATCCAGGTCATATGCATTCCGTAAAAGTTCAAAAAGTCCACTGGACTTGGTTTCCAAAGTTTGAAGATGTTTCGCCACCTCTCCACGAAGCTTTCTCAATTCAATTTTGAATTGAGAAAGCGAAACGTCTTCGGCGAAACGTCTTCAAACTTTGGAAACCAAGTCCAGTGAATTTTTTGAACTTTTACGGAATAAAAAAAGCAATCAAACAGAGAGCAACGGATTGAAAGTTGTTTCCCATTCCACAGGCAATAAAACTTACATTTTTTGTTAGGATCTTCAAATCTAGCTTCCTCTGCCCACATCTAGGTATTATGTTCTTCAAGTTTTCAAACAAATCGTCAAGGATTTTATGAAGCTGTGCCTGTTCATTAAGTGTGATGACCTAAATGTAGCTTTAGTCCTAAGTGCTCTTGGTGGTTGTTAAGAACTAAAAAGTTATATATCAGCTTTGGTGAAACAAAGGAGAGATATTTATAATAAAGCAATTTATATGCAAGAAACAAGTGGAGCAATATAGCAATTGCCGTACTGCTCTACTTGTGAAAGTAAAATCTGTTGGGCTCTTTTTGGCATCAAGACAATTATTCTTATTGCCACACTGCCAGACAGGACACTGTTAAAAAAAAAAACAACTAAAAAGGTCCTTTTAAAACATACCATAAACCTGGTGGGAAATTATTTTCTTTTTATCTCAAAACTCAAGACTTATAAACTGTGGGGTATAATTGTGCTCAGCCTCTTTACTCTGTTGCCCATAAATGTGTTCAGATTTGCAAAGACCACTGTGTGGTTTATGCAAGGCAATTTCATTTATATAGCACAATTGAGTGTCAAGACAATTCCAAGTACATCAGGAGAAAAGGGACACAGAGGAAACAGTTTAGTTAAATAGTTAAAGAAATACATTAAAATAAGAGAAATATAAAACAATATATGATTATTTGAAAAAAAGCTAAAACTATTAAGAAAACGGAATGAAAGTTAGACTACAAACTTCTGGTTGTACAAAGAAGACTTGAACCAGGAGACTTGAGATGTCAATCTGGTTGATGCACTGACAACTAGTCTGTAATGCATCTTGGAGCAAAGCTATTCAGTGCTTTAAAGACAAACAGAAGTGTTTTAAAGTCTATTCTTTGAGAGACAGTGAGCCATTCTAATGAAGATGTGCTCCACTTTCTTAGTTTTAGTGAGGATGTGGGCAACAGCATTCTGGATCAAATGTAGCTGTTGATCGAATATTTATCAGACCTGTGAAGTCACCATTACAGTAATCAATTCTACTAAAAAAGAACGCATCAATTAGTCTTTCAAAGTCCTGCTGATCGTTAGTCCTTTCATCCTGGAGACCTTGATTGGCTGATAAAGCCCCCTGTCACAATTTGAAGATTCAGCCAGGGTATGCCAGGCGTACGAAAAATCTGTCAAAAGCGCTTGCATACGTTGGATAGGTTATGGGTGCGTTTTGTATGTAGTTATGAGCACGCTGAAGCATTCTGGCACATGTCGACATACGTCGAGTACATCTACATATGCCAGTATATGCTCATACTTGGGGAATAAGTTACAGGTAAGTTATTTGATCGTTGACATATGTTAAGTCTAAGTTACTCATAAGTCGTGGTGTCCAGCTTATCCAAAGCCTATGAGTAACTTGTGCATAACCTATGATTAACTTATAAAGAACTTATCTCCGACGCATATCAATGAATTTGATATGTTCCAGACGACCACTGAATGTGTTTCTAACTTGTAGCTACTGTTTAATGGCATATTGGCAGCATTTTGGTATAAAATGGGGTTCACAGGAGAAAAGCCTCAGTACTACTCCAGACGTTCCACAAGAGATGGAGGATCCGGCAAGTCTGAGATGGGAATACATACTAACTTTTCTCCAACATCAGCATGTAATCAATTTGACTCTGTAACAGTTGTTGGGTGAGCAAGCTTGTGAGTGTGATGGATCCTCCCTGCGTTCACGCCCACGGCCACGACCAACAAATTTCCCAAACTTCCTAAACTTCCACAGAGCTCAATCTGCTGCAACTAAAAACCTTCTTTCTTTCTTTCTTTTTATTTTTTTCTTTTGGCTCACGGTAAACAGCTACTAGGTTAATTCCCGGATCAAAGAAATCTTTTTATGCAGGCCGGGAACCTCAGGGTGCATTGCTGGACATAAGTTCTGACTTGTTATGAATACTCTGTTTACGCAAAAAATTTAAAAAAATACATAGAAAGTTCAATGTATGCCAGCAACTTTTGAAGATTCCGGGACGTCAGGCATAGGCTGGCTAAATCGTCAAGGTGTGACAGGGGCTGAAGAGGCTGATTTTATGTCTTTATGATAATTTGAAGGTTTGGGACCGAGTCCATCACTACACTCAGATTTGGAGACTGATTGATGCTTTCTGTGTTAACTGAAGCTATGTGCTAACCTTTGATCACTCATCTTTTGGTTAAAATTTTGGCACATCTATGCATTGATTTCTTTTATGTATTTGCCCAGCACTTGAATGGTCATTTATTCACCAGTTTCCTGCAGCTCATGTGAAATGTTTCCATTAAGTCAAAAAATAAATGTGTGCAAAGCCTTAAATTTCAAAAGTAAACAGCTCTGATAGCAACTTTGCATTAGTAAACGCTCTCATCCATAGCCTAAGGCTGCAAAACCGTGCTGGCTGCACTACAGCTCCTCCACAGGGGCCCTTTGGTGCTCTTCACTTCAGCTACAGCAGCCTGTTTAGTAACTATTTTTCCCAAACACCACTAACAAAATGTTTCTATTGATATCATGGAGTGGGAGGCATTGACGGGGGTGAATGTAAATGCAGAAACCTCCGTCCTGTACTCCACAAACAGTTTGTGCAATATTCATTATCTGAAGTCTCTCCTTTTGTTTCACTAAAGCTAAAATAACCAAGTCTTCCAAAGCGTATGTTAGAACACACACTGACTCCTGTGGGACCTCGACAAGATAGAGAAGGGGAAGAGAAAAGGGCTAGCAATACAAATAACACAGAAGCTGAACTATCAAACTAAATTTGTACCACTTAGAGCAGCGTAGCAAAGATCCATTAGTATTCTAAAGGCTGGATCCCGAGAGCGAAGCCTTATGAAATCACTTCCACAGCTGCTCCGACAGAACCACTTCACACATCCCACTGAAGACAAGCACGCACGGGTGTGCAGAGTTTTACTTGGAAGGTGCCTTTTGCTCGCACATTTTCACAAAATGTCACAAAAAACTTAACTTCCACAGAGTCCTGGGGAAATTTCAAAGAAAACTCTTAGATGGCAGCTAATTCTTAGTTGGCACTTTCAAAATCAGCTGCTGTGTCTCTTATTCGTTCTCAAACACTTTTCAACATCTTGCTCCCCTTTTACACAGACGCATACACAGAAACGGTTGCAATCACTCTCCTTACATACACATGTTAATCATGTGGTCGGGATGTCACCCACCCAGAACATAAGCCCTCTCTTTAACACAAGTGAGGTCACTTTTTGTGGCTTTAGCGGGTGTGTGTCTATGTATGTGTGTTCTTTTTCTGTCTATTTAAAGTAACTGTTTCCCACAGATGCACCAAACAAACACAAGGTCTTGGTTAATTGATCAAATGTACAGCTAATTGATGAGGGATTTACACTGCCCATCCAGACCTACTTTGTCCAGGCTAGCAATGACTTCCCATCAGTGGTAATAGACCTTGACCAGGTGTCGTAA